CATTTGCATAGCGCTGTAATATTTGCAAATAGCTCGCAGCCAGCGAAAAACGTATTTAAGAGCTATTCAGCAAATTGCGTTAAAGAAGTTGCACGCGACCAAGCAGAGACCGACCAAGCGCTATCCGAGCCGCCGACTGAATCCAAATACTGCTGAAAGGTAAAAAACATCATCATCAACCGCGAATCAATTGCCGATTGCCAATTGCAAATCGCAAAACGCGAATTGTGAATTGTGAATCGAGAATCGAGAATTGTGTCGTTGACCCTTAAGGGGAAACCACTAAATTGACCCATTTTCGTATTGCTTCTAGATGATCGTGCGACACAATTCGATGTTTGCGCTGCTGGCGCTCAGCGCTCTGGCCCTCAGCCATGCCCACTTTCCGCAGTACTGCGCCGAGTGCGAGCAGGAGATTTGGGAGCAGGTGCCGTGCAGTGAGATCAGCTCTACCACGCTCCAGCCGCCCATCACAACGACGGGCTCGACGCCTGCGATCAGCACCACAACGCAAACGCCGCCGACTGTGACCACGCCCCCAACCACATTGACGCCTACACTGCCGCCCATCAGCTCCACCCTGCCGTACATCTATACGACGCCGTCGACGCCCTACACAACCTCGTCGACGTACAAGAAGTGCTACTGCGAGTGCAAGCTGGGCTGCAAGGAGTTCTGCCGCAAGGTGTCCGTGGCCAGTCCCAAGCAGCAGATCACGCAGATCTCCTCCACGGGCGACTATGCGCCAGGCGGCAAGGTCGAGTACACGCAGTCGCTGCAGCGCAAATACTACCCCAAGTACGCCGCCAAGAGCTACAAGCCCTATCCCGTGGTCTACAATGAGGCGGCGGGGTCAGCATCCGCGCCAGCTGCGCACAACATAAATGCGCCCAACTACACGCTCGAGGAGCTGGCGCATCTGCTGAGCTCTTCCTACGGCGCTCGCAAGGGCTATCCGGCCAGTCCGCAACCGCAGCCGCAGCAACAGCAATCGGTTTACTACGCACCACAGCCGCTAATCTCTCGACTCCAGCCGCAGTACAGGCAGCTGATTAGCAAGGTTTCGCCGCCCAAGGAGCAGGTGATAATCAAGACAGCGTCAGCGGCGGTTTCAGCCTCTGGCCGTGCAGTGGCCAAGGCCAAGACGCCCTACAACGAGGTGGTGGCCACATCGGCGCCCGTCTATGAGAGCACCACATCGTATCCGGTTCCACCACCAGAGCCGCCCAAATCGTATCCTGAGCCCGAGCCAGAGCCGGTGCCCGTGCCTCTGCCCATGCCCCAGACCGAGGCATATCCCTCCCAGACAGAGGCCTATCCGGACAAGTCCTATGAGGCACCCGAGTCGAAGAGCAAGTCAGAGTCCTCCTCCTTCGACCTGGCCATCGACAACTACCTGAAGGACTTTGGCTACGGCAACCAGGTGCGAGACTTGGACTACTAACGCGCTGCTTCCTCCGATTGTTATTAGTTGTTGCTAGGTTTAGGTCTATGCCTAAGTATAACGTATGCATGTGTGTGTGTATGTGCGCGTGCATAGCTATGTATTGGGTCTGACAGCGCACTCTTCATGTATTTATTTATTTCCCCCTCTCCGTGCGCTGACTTGTTGAACATAATACAATATACAATATATACAAACAATGGTTACGAAAATTTGTGTATTTTATTTTAAGGACTGGGAGACAAGGAAACATGGTGAGATTGTAAAGGGAGGCAAAAATATATATAATTTATAAAGTATTTTTCAGCTCTATTCCTAAGTGAAGAAACTTTATTGCCTTTAAGGCTGCTATGACTGCAATGAGCAACATTTGCTTACATTTCTTGTTGGCCAACAGAGCACACCTCTGCACACCTCCGTCACCTTCAGTGACCTTCACACACTCAGCTGGCATCAAAGAGCTTTGGGCACTTGTACTTAGCAACAAAGTGGGCAGAAGGCGATTTATTTGGCATATGCCAAAACAGTCACTGAGCTAAGTACCTGTGCAGCACCTCAATCTCCCAGTGTGTGTGTGTGTGTGTGTGTGTGTGTGTGTGTGTGTGTGTGTGTGTGTGTGCTTGTGCTGGTATCGGACAATCTACAAAGTGTGTACATGTCGCTAAGTAGACACAACTTATTATTTATGGAGTCTACTTAAATGTGAGCTCGTGGAGCTGATGGAGTTGATTGGGTTGGGCGACAACGACAGGCAACGACAGCGGGCGTGCCGCAATGACTGCAACTGCAACTGGACCTGTGCGTGAGTCGTGTTGGAGTGGTGCAGTGGTTGCTGTGGTGCAGCTCTTGAAAACCACTCGCCACGTAATCTTGTTCTAAATGAATGTGGCGCAAGATACGCGCCGCAGCCGCTTATTACTTCATATCGAATTTACCTACGTGTCTCGATTGGATATTTGCTTTGGCTTTTCACTCTCCGCGAGCAGCGATCGGCGGTGTCGCATTGATTTGTGTGCGTCGAGCGAGCCAAGTGCGTGAAAGGCCTCTGGCATGTGGGCACAGCACGGGCGAGACAACGCCCCTCCTCCCTCCACCTTCCTTCCACCACCACCACCACCACCACCACCTGGCCAAAGGTGGCTATGGCTCGGACTGCGGCTGCGGTATCTTGTGTGGCATACGGACGGATGTTGCAATTCGATTAATTAATTAAGTGGAAAAACTGCAAGCGCGCCGAAGGCTGTCTGAATGTCAATGTGCAATTTGTAGTCCATTTGATGGAGCTATCGACGGCATAATTAATCCCCGCTCATTTTGTACTTCACTTAGAGCTGCGGCGCTGATAGACAGATAGATTGATTGAGATATGTTAGATCACTAAACTTAAGGAATTTATAGCAGAATTGATTAAGTACAACTCAATTGTGTTTATAATAATAATAAATAAATAAATAATAATTAAATACAAGAAAAATCAGCTTTGTTTTGACACAATCACAAGTTTTATAATATTATTGTTTTTGATGATGATGATTTAATATTTAATTTCAAATATATTATATAAAATATATTAATATTATTTTAATTAATAATTATTATTTTATGTTTTTCGTACATTGTATAGATAATTATCCTATTTAACTTAGTTCATTCCAACTTAAAGAAAAAACAAAGAAATTATTGTAGATATGCATTAAAATTGTTTCTGCTTCTTAGCTCAAGAGTTACAAAAAATTTCTTATCTATCCAATTCCTATCTCTCAATTATGAATAGCTCTAAGCAACATATGTGTACCATTTAGTGTTCAAGTGATTTTACCCAAGACAGTTGATTGATTTTTAATTGTTTTTTAATTTCCTGTACCACTTATTTTTTCTATCATTGATTTTCCATTTTTCTTATAAAAAACTTTGCTAAAAAAACGCAAATTAATTTAAGCAAATTTTGTAGTCAATGGAACTTCCTGCCTTTGCCGACTTTAAGTTGTTAAACTATTCAAAATGCAGTTTTAGCCACTTTGTGGGGTAGTAACTCAGATTATTTAATATAGGGTGTTACATATCTCGAAGTTTCTAGCATTGATCTAATATTGCTGAATCAATCAATCACTTAATTGAATCGCTCACAGAAAACGACCTCCTCAGACCAATGTTCTTCTGGAAATTTTGTCACATAGTTTCGATTGAATACTCATGAATGAGTTGTAATTCTGTTCTCTGTTGATATAGATAGCTAACAACAATAAATTATGATTAGGAGACTAAAAAAATGTGGCGACAAATGGTACACAAATATCTATCTGACTATTTCTTAGAATTTCCATGGGCTAAATATTTGTAAGCTAATGCATATTTCTGTTACAGGTTTCTATTTACTTGGGCCAAACCAAGCAAGTTTAGTTTTTAATAAAAATAAATATATAAATATAATATTTTCTTAGCCGAACCAGTTCGCCTCCAAAATATTTTGCAACCATATTTGATACATATTAAGTCAATTTTTGTGATCAGCTGCATAAATTTTAATTACAATTAATAATCAATGATCATAAATTATATGTATTATTTTTAGACTAGAATTCTAATATGTTGAAATTTGAGTGCAACTATATCTTGGAATTATGAAAGTAATGGAAATTATTGTAATAAAAAGCTGAAAGCAATATGTCTAACTGAGTTTGCAGCCAAGCTGTCTACGTAGCTTTTGAGGTGTTGTAATACGACCTGTAATCCGCATATATTGCTGCTACAGATTTCCCCTTGTTCTGGCTGAGAGCTCCTTGCAGTCAAGGATTTGGCAAATTCTTGAATTTACTCAAAAGCCATTAATATATTGAGAAAGATGGGAAAAAATCGCAGCGACTGATGGATAATATTCGAATAAGAAAGTGTGTTCTAATAAGACATATTGCATTCAAGATTAATTCCATTTTTTTTACATTAAAAGTATTTACAAAAAATTTTAATTATGTACATAATTCATATAAACTGGAATGTGTGTGAGCATTTTTGATTGCTAAAAAAATGGATTAATTTCTGCGCTCTGTCTCTATTTTTACTTTCACTCGACTTTGAAATATTTCAATTACTTACTCGTAAATCGGCTGCTGCTATACAAGCTCTTCAAGCAGTAGATCAGCTTGACATATATGTATTTATATGCCGTCTCTGGCTGATCCCTTGCCCGAGTGACCCATAGAAACAAAAGTCGCTCCGTTACACAGCCAAAAATTGCAAACTGGATCAGCATATGCGACAAGTAAAATTGTTTTTATTTTTATTTAGATTTGGATTTTTATTTTTGGGTGGTAATACAAAATATTGGCAATCAAAGCTGCAATGCCAAAACAAAAAGTAACTGTTTTACATTTGGCTGGATTCCGGTTCGGGCTTGGACTAATCCGCACGCACCGCGGAGGTGGGGCAATCGATTTTGGTATAAAAGTTGCGTGCGCGACATTTGACAACATAGTTCAACGCAGGAGCCTCAAGTGTAGTGATCCAACTGATTTTCAGCACTCCAAACCCAACTCAAAACTCGAAAACTAAACGCAAAATGTTCTCAGTGAGTTTTTTTCTTCAAATGAGTGAAATACTGAAATTGTTCTGCAACTAAAGTGAACTTATCTTCATTCTAGCTTGTGTCTGTGTTCGTCCTGGGCGTGGCTGCTGCCGCTGCCATCGAGCTGAGCCCCATCTACTCTTCACCAACGGCGCACTTGGTGAAGCCACTGCTGAAGACCGTCGAGGTGGAGGCGCCTGCCCATTACGACTTCTCCTACTCCGTGCGTGACGACCACACCGGCGACATCAAGAGCCAGACGGAGTCTCGCAAGGGTGATCAGGTCCAGGGACAGTACTCGCTGATCGATGCCGATGGCTACCAGCGCATCGTGGATTATACATCGGATGCCCACAACGGCTTCAATGCCGTCGTTCGCCGTGAGCCTCTGGGCCAGAAGATCATTAAGGCTGCGCCCATTGCCAAGATTGTGTCCCCCTTGCCATTGGCCTATGCGCAACCCAAGCTGTTGGCTGCCCCCAAGCTGTCCCTGGGCCTGTACCAATAGGATCGAGTCAAAGCGATAGAGCTAGAGCGAGAGAGAGAGAATTCCAAACACTGATTTCATTGCATTGACGACCCATCTCAAACTGAACACTCAACTCAACTGAAAGCCACTATAACTATAACTGTAATTGTAACATTTCTAGCCACTATTTTCAATACTTTCCATTGCTCACATTCACACGCACTTATGTACGCGCATCAGTCCCTCAATAACACGATTTATATATGCGAACATGCTTCATTAGAAATTCGTGTAGTCTATATATTATAAAATACGAATATTTTAAAAATATAAACGCAATAAATGCATTTCTATAAATGAATTTGCTTATGAATTTTTGTTAAATCTGTTATGTTTTAGCTATTAGCTGCAAATGGCTATCTTAGATCTTATACATTATCCTGTAAATGTAAACTTAATGGAGAGCAAATTGCTAAAGCTGTTAAAGTAAATCTGCAAGCAAATATGTTAACAGCAGTCGCATTAGCAGAGCTTGCATATAACAGTTGAGCGTTTTATTATTTACGCTCTGTTTGCGAGGCGAAAAAATCGTACTCATTCGCTCTCATTCTGAACGAGAGACTTCGCTTCTTTTCGTTTATGTTTTCTAATGAGCGCATTGAGTTTAACTGTTCTTTTAACGAACATCGTTTAGGGGGAGTATGCAAAGTGTAGAAATGAGCACACGATTAAGAGATAGTCAGAGTCTCTTAACAGTGATGCACATGCACATATGTATGTATGTATGTATGTAAATATGCATACACTCAGTTCAATCGTGCACGGTTGGCTCTTATAACTCAACATGGTAAAAGCTCTTGATACTTAAGCTGCTAATTTAACAGTAAGAGAACTAATAGAAACACAATAATAACATGACAAAATGCCATCAAAACGGTGGGAAAGTTAATACAATAATATTTTACATATCATTCATTTCTGAATTTTTTTAAATCGCATTTAAAGACTCAATATAAATTTCCAAACATAAATGTACTCCAATAATTATGTATGTTAATAAAGCGAATACGAGAATATTTACTTCTAGATTTAAACCACTGGAATGGAATGAAATTTGATCAACTTTATTAAGTAACTTCCTCTGTATATATGTATGTACATATAACTAATTTTCAGATTAAAACAATAGTATATGTATATAATTTTTAACAGCCTTTTAATAGTATTCGTAGTAGTATACAAATCAGATGCTTTATAGCCATTTAGTAAATGTGTTAATGACGTGAGAGAATCGAAATGGGTTCGCGACGCACCTGAGCAGTGAAGCCCAGCAGCGGATCCGAACTGTAGTCAACGACGCGACGATGTCCGTCTGGTTCGATGAGCGAATAGCGACCCGTAACGTATTCGCCACGTCGATGCTCGAACTGGTCCTTCACATCGCCCGTATAGCTGTCGTGCACGGAATAGTGGAACTCATATTGAGGCGGGCTGGAGATCAACTCATCAGGATGGCCAACAATGATGCCGGCCTCAGCAATTGCAGTTGCAGCGCACAGAATCAAAGTGATGGTCTACGAATAGGAAATACATATATATTGTTCAATATACTGTATCAATGAGCTATTAAATTTAAGCCACATACCACGATGTTCATGGTGCTTCCAGTTGAGTTTGAATTGCAAGTGAGCACAGCTAACTCAAAGGCCGAGATCTAGTGAACTGATGACAAACTGATCGCGATACCCTCTTTATATATGCCACTCGGGGCAATCTACAGCCAGATACATGGCCCATTGTCACCGTGGCCAAGTTGTGAAGCTGTGCAGCTTTGAAACCGAATCCCCCGACAGTGCAATCTCTTACGCAATGCACGCGTCTCCGACTCGACTGAAATGGCAGACAGATGGGAAATGATATCTGATGCGTCTTAGAAAAGAAACTCGGTTTTGAGTTAAATATAACTAACAAGTTAGTTTTGCAACAATTAATAAACTTTTAATTCACGGTTTAACTTTAAAGGTTCAGCTTTACAAATTTATCACATCTATGCCTATTGCTACCGGAATGGGTCTTAATCCAGACCCGCAGCGCTGAGATTTGCATAAAGATATAAACATATTGTTGTAAATTTTGATGCATGTGTTACAAGATCCGACTGAAATAATAGCTGACATTGATATTTATATTTTTCGGAAGAAAAAATCACAAACAATATTATAGAAAATGTCAAAGTTTAGGCCTGAAGGTATACCCCAAAGCGACAGATATGAATATGAATATGAATATATATTTCATCAAGGGAATAGTATCAAGTGAAAATCATTCAAATCATATCATCATTACTTCCAACAAAATATCAATTCCAAAAAAAAGTACCTTATCGTTTGGACAGATTTTATTATTGACTTATAATTAACCATTAACATGATATAGTTATTTGTTACATATATTTATGTCTTTCTATAATTATCACAGCATTAAAAATAATGGATTTTATAAACACATATAATTTAGTTTAGACGTTACGTTAACTTTACATGATGATTAGTGTCCTTCTGGTTGTTATACGAATTCAGTTCGATGAAAACATAGAAGGAGACGCGCTGAAATAGATTTTGGGTATTTATGACGCGAAGGTTTCAGGGTTTCAGGTACGACAACATAAACGAGTGCTCGTATTCTCATGCCACGATCAGTTCATCCTTATCAAAACTTGTTTTCCAGCAACGAACCTGTCAAAGTAAATAAATCATGGAGGATATCACCGAATATAATATAATATTCATAATAAATAAAAAAAAATTTTACATATATAAAGTTGAGTTATTTAATTGTAATGCAATATCAGTTTACCATTCTCGGCGACCATCCAAGCTGTCAGTTTCTCATCCTCCGTTTTGTTCGTCTCGTCCCAGGGAAAGCTGGCCCCCTTTTCTTTTAAAGTTTTCTGAGCTCTGAAATGATTTTTTAAAAAGTTATTTGGAGTTTTCTTCCTTTATGTCTGTGTCTTATTTAGATATTGCATAGTATAACTAAGTAGCATGCATGCATGTGACTCTAACTACATTCTGTTATGTTTTGGATTATTAATGTAAAACATAAGTTATCTATATTTAATTTTTATTTATTTATTTATTTTTTTTTAAATATAGAAATGGTCATCTATTGACTCGCGTTTTCTCACAAATGAAATTTTGGCTAAACTGATATAAATAATTTTCTAATTGTACTAAGGAAACTAACACTTTTTTATTTTTTCAATAATCTTATATGTACTTCATTAGTCAGCAAGAAAGCATCGTTTGTATTCACAAGATTTATGAAGTCTTTGATATATCTACCTTAATATACCTTTATTAATTATCAATGTTTTGATATTGTTTTGTGATGAGCAACAAATCAATAAATATGTGATGACTACATAAGGGATATTTATTGGACTTAAATTACATTTGTGTTTGTCTATATTTTAATTTATAAAGAAAATTATAGTTGGGATAATCTACTTTTCTTTTTGTGAGTTGGTGTTATTTAGGTGATAAAATGTATAAAAACACAGCTACTTCAGCATGAAGATGGGCTAGTGAATGAATAGGTGTACTCTATTGGTTTATGTATTTACAGTTTACGAATGCTGGTTTTTACCTTATGGGCCAAAAGCGACAGCCTTCATCAGTTGAGGAGTCGTTTTGGGTATCACTGGGGCACGCACAAAATGTTCAGTGATCAATGACAAGCAAATGAAAAGACACAAAGGAAACAATATAAGGGAAAACAAGAGACACAGACAAAATCAGAGACAAAGAGAAAGATAGAGAGACAAAATAGCATAAAAGAGAGACATTCAAAGAAGCACAAGAGATATGAGTTTCGATGATCAGAGACAACAATACAAATATGAGATATGAATGTATTCAAATCAAACGGATTGTCTGTCATGCCACAGCGACTGCTGCAACTACTTACGGATTCGTGGAGAGCGAATCTGTGCGGCTGCCATTGTTCGCCTCCAGGCTGTTGGGGCTGCGCCTCTTGGTGACGCGATCGCGCTTGAAGTTCTCGCTGAAGAAGTCGCGTCCGTTCTGGGAGCTGGTCGTCGTTTGGCCGCTCTTCGCTTGCTGCGTGGGCGGCACCGTGTGCGGGTACTTGCTGTCGCTGTCCGAGTCCATGGACAGATGGCCGAACAGATCCTCCAGCAGGATGTTCGACTTGGCGTTGCGTTGCCGTTTCGCTGACGTTTTCAGTTTTGAGCTGGATGCGGAATGAGAACGAGTTCTTGAACAAGGAACAAAACAGATCAGAGAGACAAACATAGGCACAGGGTATATGCAATGCGTAAAGCACAGAAGTGCGTGGACAACACAGACAAACCAGATTCAGGACAACAGACATACGATATTTATGCACTTCCTAGTATACCCTGTATTTATATTAGATGTATCCCATAATGATGGAGAATATCTCCATCAACAACAACCGATTCGCTCTTCACTTACCCCAATATCAGATCCAGATCATCAGCCTTTATCCTTGGCTCCGCTGATGGAGCTGCCTGAGAGCGCGCCGACAATCGTATGGCCGATCCGTTGAGCAGGGACGTCGGCTCGAAGGGCAGCGGCGGCTGGTGCTGGCGCACGATAAGATTCGGCGGTGCTGGCACGGCGCTCACCTTCGAGAACATGTTGTACACCTTGGCCTCGGGCTGCAGCAGCGTGGGCCGCGTCTGCACGTAGTAGCCCCCGATGCCAGGCGCCATGCGGGTGTTGTTTTTGGCATTCTTATTGGCCGTCTCGTAGCTCAGTTGACTGCCATTCACGTAGATGGCCCCATCGTTGCGCGTCGACGTATTGCTGAAGGAGACATTGGGAGGCAGCTGGGGCTGTGGGTGTGGCTGTTGTTGCTGTTGTTGGTGCTGCGGCAGCTGCTGCGGCTGCTGATGAGCTGGCAAGCCAAACAGCTGAGAGATGTTGCGATTCAGATAAATATCATTGATCGACTCTTTGCCCGTCGGCTGCGTGGCCATGTCCATGCCGAGAGCGCATGGATCCGTGGAGAGATCGTTGTTGGAGAGGAAGCTTATCTTGGGCTGGTATTTGATGGGTATGCTCACATTCTTGCCGACCTGGCCATTGTACAGCGATTTGCCATTGTTCTTGATGTTGTTGTCGCTGTTGCTGTTGTTGTTGTTATTGGTGCTATTGTTGTTGTTATTGTTGTTGATGTTGCTCTGATGTATGAGCTCAGTCACGGCCTGCAGTTTCTCCTGCACCGGAAGCACATTATTTGACACAGTGGGAGGTAGGACAAGGTGCACGGGTCCGGACCCAGCACCATACTTGGAGCTGAGCCGCACATTGGCCTTGGCAGCCGCCGCGGGCGAGATGCGCTTGAGCGCATGAAAATACGGATACTTGAGACTCTGCTGGGCCGTTGGCCGTTTCTCAGGATCGTAGGCCAGCAGATCCTCCAGCAAATCCAAGCCGTTTTGGCTGCAGCGCGTGACCACGCTGCTCAGCGGCACCTTGATGCAATCCGGATACCGAAAGTGTATCATGGCAGCCAGTCGATAGCCATCGGGCCAATCGCTCTGTTGAAGAAAAGAGGAGCTGATACATGAATCGGCTAGCAGAGGAGCATAGACCCACCTTTCCGGGCGTGCCCAGCACAGAGCAAATCTTGAAGAGCTGATCCACCTCGCTGCTGCCGGGGAAGAGTGGCCGGAACGTATACAGCTCGGCCATGATACAGCCCATGGCCCAGAGATCAATGGAGCTGCCGTAGTTGGTCGAGTGCAGAAGCACCTCCGGCGCCCGGTACCAGCGCGTGGACACATAGTCCGTGAAAGGCGGCCGGGAGCGTATCTCTCGTGCCAGTCCAAAGTCCGCAATTTTAATCAACTCCGGGCCGGAGCACAACAAATTCTCAGGCTTCAGATCGCGATGAAAGAACCCATGTCGATGCATGAAAGCCAAGCCAGTTAAAACCTAAAACAACAAATTATTTACGTATTTAATAAAGAGTTCCCCCTCTTTGACTTACCTGAAACAGAATGCTCTTGAGCTCCAGCTCAGGTAAATGCGTATCGCGATCCTTGATCATTTGGTACAGATTCTCCTTCATATACTCAAAAACAAAATATAACGTATCGTTTTCTCTGATCACTTCCTTCAGCTTTACGATATTTGGATGCGATAATTTCTTAAGAGACTGAAAAAAAAAAACAGTTCATATATATATATATATATATATATATAATATAATGGATAAGTGAATATATTGTATATATAGCCTACCTTCACTTCACGCAGATTCATAGCCTCCTCCCAGGAATAATATTTGCGCTTCATGCGTTTTATGGCCACCTTCTCGCCAGTGTCCTTACGCTGGCCAAGCACAACGGTTCCATACGTTCCATCACCCAGTTGGGTCAGTGTTATATAACGATTCATTATACAATCAGCATGGGAGCGTCTTTTACATATTTTCCACAAGCAACTCGAATTTGTTCAACTATCGAAACACAAGTTTTTTGTTATTAATATTTAAATATAATTCAATAAAATTTTAAGTTGTAATTAAATTTCAAAAATAATTTTTAGCCAATAATAAAAATAGTTTTTAATTGAAATAACACTTTCTACATAAATATATCTAGGATACGAATTAATTATAATTTGTATCTAAATTTATATTTTTGTTAAATAAATATTTACATATATAACATTTTAAATTATCCCAAAAGCGTATGTATAGTGTTTGCAAAAAAAAAAAATAAATAAATAAATAATTTTGATTTTTATAAGTAAAGAAAATATACTAATTTTAAAAATGTATTGATATCATATCATCGAGATACCAGATATTTTTAAATTAAATAAACGGCAATAATAAATTATTCCATTAGCAGAACTATTTGTTTGTTGATTAGTGTTGGTGCCGACATGCCCAAAGGGACTTGTTAAAAACCAAGCCCCATTAAAACAAATGTGAACACTTAAAATCGAATCAAATCGTCGAGTTGAAAGCGTCTATCAGCCAAAGTAACAGGCCATTAATTGTATTGAGCGAACACCTGGACACCTATCGAGCAGAGACCACGTGTTGAAGACATACAATTTGGAAATAATCAATATATTGATTAAAGCAGTAAACTTGAACTATATAGAGGCTTGACCAATTTATTCAAATCATGATGATATCTGTCATCTAAGTATTACCCCAACTATCAAGGTCAACCGTCATAGTTTTGGGGAGAACAAAGGCTTAGTTTGGCATTAGACTGGACAACATTGACTGCTACACAATGGATATATAAATAACTAGAAATAGATACATGTTAGTGAGATCTGTTAACATAATAAACGTATCATTAGCCATTTGCAATTAGAAACAATTTTACAAGTTAGATAGGGAGCTATCCTACTATACGCCCTAAAATCGCAATTAATTTATAATAGAAAATGCAGTCGACTGCTTTCCGAATGCGTCTTATAAATCTTTAATCCGACATGTATTCTCCAAGAAAATGGAATTCACCTAATCAAAGGACACGCTGGTATTTATAGGGTGTTTCATGTTTAATATTAGGGGATTTTAATTATATGTTGAAAAATGGTTTTTAGGTATTATAATATCATATCAGACTTGTGTTGTTAGAATGTTCACTCTTGTGTTCTTAGGATTGAAATGAAGTTAATGAAGTTAATGCTCAGTAGATATTTTATTGAACTTGTTATGATGATAATGTTGATGTAGGATATCTTTAAAAGTACAATTTCAACCCAAATATACAATTCCATCAGGTATTGCCCAAAGCTATACACCAGATTGGCAGTTGAGCCTTTAACTAGCTTTAACCCAAGCACTAAGACTTTAAAAGCAATTTATCCTTAACTAAACTATTTAACACGCCATGTATGCAAACATAGAGAAAACTCTGTAAGAAATATTACAAACTGAATATACTCTATTTTGAGCAGTAGCGAAGTGAAATATTTACTTGAACTTTGTGAATTTCCCCCTTGCGCAGATGCACCCTGTATATAACAATACGAAATGCAGTCATATAGCCAAGTGTGTGTCCCCAATCGGAATCGCGTTTCAGAGACAATTAGAAGCAAGAGCTGTTGGACTTTCTATTATTTATTCATGGCACCATGTCAAATTAAAAGACGATTCGTTGAAAGTTCCCGACTTAATACTCTAGAAATGTGCATGTGTGTGGAGCAGAACAAGAGCAGGAACTGAGGGAGGAGACGAAGTAGAGGGTACCGGATCCAAAACTTGAGTCAGCAAGGCTTTTGTTTTGGCTCTGTTCTAGCTGTAGCCGTAGCCCTAGCCGTAGCCTTGAAACACATTTAACATTTCATTTAAATGAATTCTTCATATAGGCACGCACACCAATAAAATATTTTTTTATATATTATGCTGGACACATCACCTTATATATAAATATATACTATATAACGAATTCGCGAGCAACTCAAAGAACAACTTTAAGTCATTTCGGGGTTCACTTTATCGATTGGCTTTAGTTAAATTTAAATGCAAGAAATAGGCATCAATCAGTTGAAAAACTCTTTAGCTTTACCTAAGATGCACTTGAATCCGTCACGGGAATGTTTGAATATTTATTGTGAATATATTTTGTTATAAATTTGTAGATATTTATGTTGCGAAATTGAAATCGAAGCGAGCTAATCTCAATATCTATTGCGAGCAGGAGTTTATTTTAGAAGCAAACGTGAACAACTACCAACTATGCCGATATCCACAACAACCGCAACCCTAAGTAGACCAAGCGCCCCTCCCAAGTCCGTTGTCAACAAACACGCCTCGGGAGCGACAAAGCGAGAGCGAGAGAGAGGGAGAGAGAGAGAGAGAGAGAGACCGGAGCCACGCACGAAGCCCAACGACTACGTGGAATCATTCGAGGAGCCAAACGCTTGCACCTGTTCAAGTCGCCAGGGTTGAACCTGGCTTTTTTTTTTTTGGCAGCCAAGGAGCAGGACCACAATACGCATTCTCCACATGCGACTTGAGAGTCGGTGGAATAGCCTTTCGGCTGGTAACCAGGCACCCGCTGCACTCAATGGCTTCGCATTTACCAATTTATTGTTTGCGACACTAGCGCGTTGCCGGGACAACGGTGTGCCGACGCTCGAGCGAGTCAAGTTCCCGTCATATGTTCCATAGCCAGCGAGCAAAATGGATGAAGAGACCCAATCACCGACTGCTGAGCGAAATAAATCATTTCTCGAGGAGGTTAACTTTCCCGAGCCGGGCATTATTAATCTGGACATGATTAGGTCATCCTACCTGGAGGAGGGGCAGCATGGAGAGACGCGTCGCTTGCATCAACTCGAGCCGGTCATATTGGATCGAATCAAAACACTACGATTGGAGTTTAAAAGTGAGTGAAATGAAATGAATTTGGTTAAATGTATTAAAGTTCTGGAAAACTAATAGTAATAATGCTAATACTAATACTAAATTGTAACATGCTAATACTAACACTACTATTAATATCTTTATAGTGCATTCCACGATATAAAAAATGTAGTAGGCCGTCGTATTTACTAATTAATAGATTAAGTATGTAAAATAAACAAATTTATATTCCCACATATATCCCAAATTTGTATCAAATTACAATATACAATATGAATACGTTATATTTCATTGCGGCCCATCCAGATATACTGCGCATCGATCATCTATGGGTTCTACCAAACCTAACCAAACTCTGTCTGAATTGCAATAAAATTGAAGTAATTGAGCATATTGGAATGCTAACAGCACTTAAGGAACTCAACTTGAGCTTTAACTATATAACAAAAATTGAAAATCTGGAGACGTTAGTCAATCTAGAAGTGCTATCATTATTCGGTAATCGCATAACAAGGATCGAAAACTTGGAAACACTTGATAAATTGGTCATACTCAGTATTGGTAATAATTTAATCAATGTCCTGGATGGCGTAAGTTCATTACACCCATAATAATTCCTAGCTATTAAGCAGTTGCATTATACTCCGCAGATAGACCGCTTGCGCTTTGTCAACAGCCTAAAGGTTCTCAATCTGGAGGGTAATCCCATTGCTAAGCTGCCAGACTTTCCATTGTCCCAATATGTGACAGCTATATTGCCCCAATTGAACTACTATGAATATGTTTTCATCAAGGATGAAGTTCGAGAAGCGGCCCAGAAGAGATTTTAGTAAGCTATGGAATAGGTTACTTGATATAATAGAAATATATATAGCCTTCAACAGCAGAGAACTGCGCGAAATCGAGGCAAAGCAGGAGAAGGAAATCCATGATCGGGAGACGGAGGCACGTGAACTCGCCGAGGCGGAACGTTTGGCCTCCAGCTTTGTGGAGCATCTGGATCGCCAACAGCTGTACGAGACTATGTGGCGCGGCGATGATGATGGACGGGTACTTATGCTCATTGGCGCTCCGGCTCAGGAGCTGGCCGAGGACTACGAGAAGGATGTCTATGAGCTAACGCAGAAGATATATAAGCTGGGTCTGGAACGCTTTAACGAGCGCGATGCGGACATCAAGGATTTCTTGAGTTGTTTAGAGGAAGGCCGGCAAGAGTTTCAATGCCTTGGCCAGAAACATATTGAAGAATTCATGCAGTACCGCGATAAGACCTTTGAGGAAGCGAGCGTCACTCTCCGTGAGCTGGAGACTTGCGAGGAGAATGGGCCGGAGCACGTGCAGCTTTGCGAAGCGATGGACACGACAAATGCCCAGTTCGACGATGCGCTCAATGAGCTGTGGCACAACCTGATGGCGCAAGAGCTGCATTTGCATGAGGCGATCGAGGTGACTATGCAAATGCTTAACCATGTTTACAATACATTAAAAGCTTTTTTAGGAGTCCACGTTGAACTTTGAACACAGATTTACACGTCTAATGTCCAGCTTTGTGGAGGAGGCCCAGCTCTACTTCCTGCAGCTGCGCCATGTTTGCGAACATTTTTCGGATAGCATAACGGATGCAGTGTCACGCTTCATATCAACTAAGCTGGCGCAGAACGATCTGGATGCCGTGCCGCAAGAATTGCGCATGTGCATCGATGATCGGGAATCTCTGGTCAATCTTGTAGACGCCATGAAAGCCACGCATATAGCACGCATTGAGGAACGCGAAGATCGCATGGCCACCCGCAGCAAGGAGTTCATAAGCAACTATGTGGAGAAGCTAAACAAGTGAGTCATCGCTTCATTCATAGTCGACTCTATACCAACAATTCAAGCTTGCAGAGAGGAAATCGAGCGCCATCGTGCTAAGATATTGGAAATCAACTCGTTCATGGAGATGATGAGAAAAGCTATTGCAAATCTGCCGGAGGAGATTCACGCCGAGCTGCTCTCGGAGCAAGAGTGAATGGTGAGGCTACTCAGGTCTCAGTCATGCTTCCTTTAATAAAATATTTTAAAATTAGCTTTTATTTTTATTTATTCGGGCCAACCAATTTGTATACATACGCGATCAGAATGCCTTTAATTTCTGTTCTTTTTCTTCAAGCCTTCGAGATATATGCCCAGATCCTCTTGCATCTGTGGATGATCGATGAACTCCAAGAAACTTTCCAACTCCTTAGTGCGCTCACTTTCGAATCTCTGCAAATCAGCGCCCCTGAATTTCAGCTTGGTTAGTGAACGGGCCAAGGGATTCGTTTGGCCAAATGTGGCAATAAATTGTGAACACTTCTCCATTGCCTTCTCTTTGCTGCTGGCCACAGCGTCCACTAGCCCGATCTGCAGGGCTTGCTCGGTAGTAAATATTCGCCCCTGAACGAGCGCACGCTCCGCCACACGACGTGGCAGAACATTTAAGAAGTTGAACATGCAGAAGATCGGCGGAACTAGCCCCAGTTGAATTTCATTCAAACCGATTCGGCATTGCGGCAGTATAACTCGGTACTCGCAAGAGGTGGCCAGCAGGCAGCCACCGGCTGGCGCATGACCCTAAAACAAGAATTGCAATTCGTAAATAGAACTACACAACTTATCATACAATATTTACATTTATAGCAGCGGCTGTTGGTAACGCACAGCCGTAGAGCGCCAACCAAACATCCTGTAATTTGGTCCATAGCAAACGAGCTCTGTCCTTGTCTGGCCTATACATTTCGTTTATGTCCAGGCCGGCGGAAAATACCTTATCATTTGACTGCAAAATAAGCACATTATTAAGAATTACTCACATCATAAAACGACTTCTTACCGATGTTAAGATAAGGCCTCTGCTCTTGTTGTTCTCTATTTCTTTAATGGATTGATATAGGTCATGTAGCAGTTCCACATTTAGGGCATTTATAGGCGGCCGGCTCAAAGTAACTGTGGCTATGCCCGTTTTATCATTAACTTCTACTGTGGTCAGCTTTGTGGCAGTGGACATAGTCCTGCAAACACTTGCAGCACGAAGCATTCGACTTAAGCTCATTGAACTCATCATCTTGATAAGAAGATGAACTTTGGATGCTGCTCCAGCGAAATGATATGCGGCTAAGAAATACTATGTTATCAAAGACTGTGTACTCTTCGATAAATGCATTATCTCTCTTTGAGCTAATTACGTTGTTTTTATCTGTTAACGAAACACCGCAAATTTCAAAAAGCAATCTAGCACAACCTGTTGCTGTGCTATAAACGACGTCTATTCGATCAATGTCGATTTCTACTCAAGACTGCACTTAAACAGTTCGACTAGCTATATTCGATAATTGCAATGTCGATTACATAAATCGAATCTTCTCTTTAACGAACTTTCTTCAAACAAACGTATTAGAATGGTTTTAATAAAATGTGTATTTAGAAGACAACAAAACCATTTGCTTACAGAAATTGATTACATTTCTATCGTCATAACAAACCCCCACCATTTTAAATGCATAGAATAACACAGTAAGTTACATATGGAACACAATCGTCAGTGCTTGTCCTTCGCCTTCAGGTTGCGAAGGTACTCTCCTAAGCCCTCTTGAAACGATGGCTTATTTATATAGTCCAAAGATTCGCGTAATTGACCTTCAGGGTCGTCTATCAACACCTGCACGTCTGGCGCACGAAACTGTCGTTTGGTCAGTGCCCGAGCCGCTGGCTGTGTTTGCTTAAAGCTATCAATGAATTCAGCGCATTTGCATAACGCTTCCGCCTTGCTGTCGGCCACTTCGTCGACTAGATTCACTTGCAGCGCTTCCTCGGTGCTAAAGAGCTTGCCCTGGAGCAGCGCTCGTTCAACTATGCGCCGGGGCAATACACTCAGATAGCTAATCATAATAAAATGTGGCACCACGTAGCCAAATTTGGTCGCATGGATGCCAATGCTGAAGCCGGGCAACATGACGCGATACTCGCAGGCTGCGGACAAAACGCAACCAACGGCAATCGCATGACCCTATAGAATGCAAAGAATATTTAAAATTATTAGCCAAGAATTTGAACTGAGCTCACATTAATAGCAGCAGCTGTGGGTATACTGCATTGGTACAGCGACAGCCACATTTCGTGCAGGGCTGTCCAGAATGCTTTCAATCGCTCCTGGTCGGGCTTATACAATTCGTTGAGATCCAATCCAGACGAGAAAACCTTATCGTTGGACTGTAAAGCAAAATAAATATGGGTACATAGATATATGAGGTCCCTTGTTTATTGTTTAAATTAACTCACCGATGTTAATATCAGACCGCGACTCTTGTTACACTCGATCTGCTTAATGTTCTCGTTCAGCTGCAACAACAGCTCCAAGTTGCAGCTGTTAACAGGTGGTCGGTTTAGAGTCAGCGTAGCAATGCCCGACTTGTCATCCACCTCAACCATGGTCAGCTTGGATATATTTGCTTTTGTCAGGCATCTCCATAGGCCCGGTAATTGGCGCCTGCCCAAGTCCAACAGTTTTGTTTGGCTACGCAGCATTTTAGCGACTGTTGATCACATGTTATTCGAATTATAAGGTCATTAGTTTTGCGGTTTTCGTTCGCTTATGTTGTTCGTCACAACACTGCTACCTGATTAACAGCTGTGACGTCACCAGTACTTCGTACCATGTGTGGATCGTGAAGTAAGCAGAAACAAAATTGTTCCATTCCCTTGTTTCCCACGTCTGAAGCGAAGCTAAGCACCAGCCATAGACACGAACCCAATGCAAAATGTACAAACACAATTTCGTCTTATGAAATGACAGATA